AAAGCCTTTTTGAATAACCCTCCGCGATCCAGTCACTGGCTTCCTTCCAAGCTTAATCAACATACAACCTGCAGTGGGTTTCAGGTGATACTATTTCCGCGCCATTATTCTATAGTAACAGGTCAGTTCCGATGGGATAAAATTCGCAGCGGTGTGCGCGAAAATTCTATTCACCTCATATAGTCATGTTATGTTCACATTTATTTTTCTATATTGCTTTTTTGAATTCTCAACGTGTTTCCCAGAAAATAAAGAGGAATAGCTCACCAGCAAATGTGAGCCCATAAATTTTGCAGTTGCTTTCGATATTCGCTTAGCGAGTCTGACAAATAGTCACGAAATTGGCATTTTAAGTCAAATATGGCAACATTTTGATCCAGTACGTTCACATAAACAACAGGGTGTTTCACGACTTCTTACCGTGTACTAGTTACTCGGGTACGCAACCATGAACGGAGCATACTATCATAGAGGATTCCCTGACAAATGAAGGGAATTATCACTTCTGCTGTTAGGCTGCCATATTCGCCTTATTGTGAATTTTTTCCACTGCTGATTTTCCTTTCTGGCGCGGTTGCTCCCTCTAAGCTGGTGATTCAGCATTTTTTTTACATTTGATTAAATGCGTCTTTTTTGATCCGTCGAGGGGGGGGGGAGGTACAGTCGTGTTTTGATGAAAAAATGATGTGGTTCGACAACATAAGAATCTTAGGGATCCATCGAATCCTAAAAGGTCATGCAGAAGGTTATAAAGTATTTATGAAGCGATTCTATTTCGAAGTTTTTCCTCCCTTACCAGCCCTATTTTTGCTTTTTGGTTTTCGTGACCTTGTTTGTACTATAACTTGTACAGCTCATCTGTGTCGCACGTGCAAGCATCAGCGTCTAACAAGTATTTGGTTTTTTTCAAAGCACACGTGATATTTTTCTATGGGCGCATTCCACGTTAGTTGCGTGGGGCAGAGGCAGGCCTACCGCTTTCCTCCATCATTGGTGCGCCCGTCCGTTCTGAGACTGTAATGAGAGGGGAGGGACGCTCCAAAAGGGATGTAGGGCAGGCTCGGCTTCTCCTACACGGAGGTCGTGGAATGTGCTTCAGTTGTGCGCTAGTGTCACCGGTGCTTTCGGCGCACAAACCCGCGGCAGCGGACTCCTCAGGAACGCGAATGGATTGTCCTATTGTTTTCAGCTTGCTTACTTCGTAAGTAATACGTTATTTTCCAAGGTTGACCTCTATTTTAGGTATTTCTGAATATGAACGCGTTCTGCAATCCAGAATCGTCCCTCGCCAATGTCACCGAGGAATTTGCACTACAAATGGCTCATATGAAATATACATTCACAATTTTACAGGTAAGATTTCTCCAGTCAGTGGTTGATGGCTTTTTATTCTAGCCGCTGTTGCAGTAAGAATTCATCACTTTGCTCCATTTAGATTATATTTTGCCTGATAGGCGTTATGGGTAATATTTTAAATCTACGCACTTTACAAAGTCCGTCGCTTCAAACGGTACCATTCATGTACATACGATCATTAGCGTTTTTTGATCTGGTGAGTGCATCTTATTTCTGTTGTACTTACTTGCTGCATCATTTTGGAACACTTGAAGGGAAGCATAGCGTTCATGTGATGCGCGGAGGCGTTTTTCGAGCATGGTAGTCCTGTCTGCGAGTATGAAGGTTGTACTACTTACCAAAGAAGACCGAAAACCCAAAATACGTGAGGGTACCGCGACCCGCTCGCAACGAGGGAACGGCTGGAGACGCCGAACTTTAGCTTTTTACGGCTAACTCATTGTACAGTTATTCTCTTACTCTCCCCATTTCAAATGGTGGGATTGAGGTGGTAAGGAGAAAGAGCTGGCACCAGCAAGTGAGAACTCGTCCGACCACGCCCTTTCGCTTAGCAACGATCTCGTGCGCAATATGGTGAGATGAACTAGTCAATCCATTAGTTTGAAAGTAAAGAGAAAGAGCTGTAACGTTGGCTAGCGGTCAGCTGTAACGTAGGCTAGCGGTCAATCGGTAAAAAATGGGATTACCGGCGATAGTAGGAGAGCCCCCATACAAGCTCCTAATGTGTTGTACGTATGTTTCGCCGTTTTGTTGTTTGATTGGAAGTTAATTAAAGCTAAAAAGTCATTTATTTCAGATCTCTCTATCGGCTATTCTATTGCATTTCATTCTTGAGCCAGCTGCCAAAAACTATTTTCTGATGATATATTCAACATATATAGAAGCTGCATTTATTAATACATTTCTTGTTGCTGGCCTCTACTGTGCGTTTATGCTCACCGTTGAAAGGTTAATTGCATAGTTATGAAACCTGAACAACGCTTCCATTGCTTTGTAAGGGGATCATTGAAAAAGAAAAATTATAGAGAAAAGAGTGAAGTTGTTACGTGATGAATTCCTGGTTCATGTGTCGTTCAGCGCTTACATGTGAGGTCATCATTGAAGGGGGGGGGGGGAACAAGGCGAAGAGGCTGCATGTTAGGACGGCTCTACTTAGCTGATTCCTTAGGATGAACCCTAGGACCTAAGTGATAATGAAGCTATCGTTAGACGCTACACATTCTGCCGCATCTTCCCCATTAAAGGCAAAACTCGGAGGTAAATTCACTGAAAGAAAGGAGGAAAATCTTCGCGCCTTCAGGTCTTCCGCTTTGAACATTCCGACCCGGTACAGGTACAGGGTTGTCATTGCGGCCCATCACCTTTCCCATATAATATTTCACATTTTCTGTTTTGCTTGATCGCGGATCACTCCTTTGGGGTGAAATCGGCTCGATCAAACAGGACAAAAAACACACAGAAACATAATGTTCATAATGTTACTTGATTCATTTATTTTATTCAACGCAAAAATGTTCGAGTCTCACTGTAACAATGATTGCGTTGACCAAGCAAAACTATTCAGGTGCCTGCTTATATCACGTCCACATCTGCAGCCAGCATCGAATCCGAGGAGATTAGCCAAAAAGAAAATTCTAGCGATGCTCGGTCTTGCAGCTGTTCTTCATCTGCCAATGATGCTTCAAAATTCTATTAAGCTTAGCGATGACGGATCCTATCACGTGGCCAACAATATCGAACTACTCTGCAGGTGCAAGTTATTAGTTGTTACTTGAGTATCACAAATGACTCTCAGTGTAACGACGTGAGTTCTAGAGGGTTACGTGAGAAAATGAATTTGCCATTGAAGAGAAGCAGATCAGGAGTGGCAGATCCCACTTCAGTATAAAACTTCAGTATAACGCATCGTAAGTCGTTTAAGTAGATAGTAGTAGTTTAGGAAAACTTCATGTTGCTTCTTTAGGTTCATGTATCAACGAATGATGCGGTCACAAGTTATCTAATTCCGAAAGTGCTGTAATATCAATTGAAATGAGGAATCCCCTGTTCTCCGAGATACTGAGCACATTTTATTGCATTCGCAAGGCCGCGCGACAACGCGCGCAGATGTTGCAGTATACAGCGGAACTTTTTCCTGCATTTTTTGCTCAGTTTAATCTTCCACATTGTTTTCAGATACCTCTTCTCGAAAATAGTTCATTAATGTGGATAGTAACAGCAATCAAAAAACGCGCAAAATCAGTTGAGAAAGAAACATTTGCGGCGTTTGAGGGGAAGGTGCGCCCTATATTCTAGAAAACAGGGTTGTACAAAACAAAAAAAGAAATGAACAAAATATAAAGAGTATAGTATCACGATCAAAGAACTCACCAGGTGCCGCAGAGGACCCCTTCGGTGTTGATCAATCCTGTTCAAAGATGCTTTGCGCATTCTTCCCCCAGCCGCATTCACGATTCTCAGTGGCATACAGTCACGATCTCTGCAGAAGATAGGGCATGTGACGCGGCGCGTATTGGAGCGCAGCCAGGGCAGCTTGCTCCCACAATGATGCTATCCTGAGCCCGCACCATTGGTGGGAAATTTGCCGGCTGGGAACCAAGAAATTCCACCGTCCTACGCGCTAACAATTGCAGGGGTTATTACTGTACACATGAACGCGGACCTGGTTCGGACTACCCTTGCAAAATCAATCGATGCGTAATGCCATTGACTGAGCCAAACTTTCCGGACGAGTCTAGTACAACTGAGCGAGCCTCCAAGAATCGGAGGTCACTTTATCGTGGGCGAAATTATCGAAAGGCTCGAGGTGAGCAGGACTCTTATTACAGCGGTGCCACTCAAAAACCGTAGCCTTTTCAAAAGAAGTCTGAAGCTGACAATTCGTCGTGAGATGTTCCCTCTGATGTCTCGCTAAACACTCAACTCCAGAACAATCTTTACAATCTTACAGCAAAAGGGTATCCCTGGTAAGGCTTGGAAGTTTGTGAGAAAGTCTGTTCCACTCTCCGTCCCCCGCCCATGCAAATTTGTCTGCAGCATCTGCAAATTAATTGCTAAGTTGTGGGACTCACATGGTGTCATGATCAGTTGTGCAACTTTAAATCAACAAATTTTCTGTGAAAACAACAGGGTATAAACAACTCTCGAAAACGTTCCTATCAAGGCCAGACACGACCACCGACCAAACATGATCCCTCCTACACTCCGATACATCCATACGTAGACAACACCTGTGTAACAGGAAGTATGAGCTCTCAAAAAGTTTTGTCAAGCCGCATACGATACCGCTCCACAGCAATCAGAATATAACTCCTTAATGGAATTTTGCCATCGATGTTGTGCCCTGGTTCCAATATCTCCAAAGGAGGCAGCCATCCATTGAGAGCTACCCCTATACATTGAATCATCAACCCTGAAGTTTAGTGAGAAGGGCAGGGTCGAGTGGCAGTCAAGCTGAGAGAAATGTTAAAGCGAGCCTTCCTTTCGCAGGACAGCACACACACGAGGTTGACCCAGATGAAGATGTGTAGTCTCGAATGGACGCTTCCATCCGTCCGCAATCATTTCCCGGTCCGACTGGCACTTCTCTCACTCTCTGGCTCATTGTGTAAAAAGATACCACTTCCTTGGTGAATACGGCCTTGAAACCTAGACTGGTTCTCCGATAGCAAGTCCCTAGGCCTTTGAGTAAGGAGATCTACAAGCTATCTGGACGTTGGCAGCATGCCGTGTGTACGAACGTACGAACGTCAATGTTCAAAAATTTAACTCACGAGAGTAAACGTTTTAAAATTTAACTCACGAGAGTAAACAGTTCGGTAATGAATTATTGAAAGGTGTCTCAGAATTTATTGGCCAACCTAATATGCAGTCGTGATCCCTGCAAACGATAGGACGATTGGCGTGCAGCCAAGACAGCCTTTTGGGCCAGTTGTTGCGGGCTCAGGATAGCATTATTGGTGGAAAAGCTGCGCTGGCTGAGACTCAATACGCACCCCCCCCCCAAACACTCTCTTTCGCTAATTAGGATGGATGTCCGTTCACGTGCTTCGCCTTCCCGAAATGTATCATATTTCAGGGAACCACATTGGACGGTTTTTAATTATTACAAAATGATACGGGAATGTTTACGATTCTTCTTCGTCACGCTAATGACGTTTCTTAATGTAGTCATCGCTCGGAAGCTGCAACTGAATAAGGTATGATGTGAGCATTTCACAATATTGAGCAGGGTTTCATCACACCCGAATTAGTCCTGCACGCTTCATATTTCAATTAACGAGAGTATTAGCCTAAAAACAAACTCAACACTCATCTCAATGGGTCATGGTCATTGCCAAGTGCAAGAAGAACGGATCACAGTTGTGAAACGTGCCACATTTTGCGATCAAAAATGCCGGAAACTGGGTTGAAGGGCAATCATATCCTCATCTTGCATCCGCGCTGCCGCACGGCCACACTCCTGAGCATAGCCAAAAAGGCTGGTTGTCTGGGCCCTCTCACTTCTGGTTATTCTCTACCGCTCAGTGCGTATTTCGCTGCGAGACTACGAAAAAACGCAACGCATTCCGAGGAATCGAGGGCGAAGGGTAGAGATGGCACACGGGTCCCAATGCCCTAGAGCTCAGTCTCATGCGTTTCTGAGCGGAGAAAGTAGCACGTTTCTGCAGCTACGAAACCCATTACCGTTTTGCACAATGATCAAGGCTCCTTCTCGCAATTGGTGTTACAGTTTGTCTTCAGAAATCTCGCTTACTCCTGTGCTGAGTGCGGTAACCTCCGGAGACATATGTTCTGGACGAGTCTATCCTATTTTGGCCCTGAAGTCTTTAACGCTACAGGCGCTACTCGAAGAGCATTTTGCATGAGCTTTTTGTGCCACTTACAGCTTCGCACATTCGAAAAGTGAGCTGGATTCCATTGGACATTGTTACGCATACGCAGAATTAGTCTCCGGAAAGGTTGCCGGTTTTCCTGAACACGCGTATAACGTTGGTTCAGTGCCTGGTGATGGCGCTCCACTCGCCACACCTGTTTGGACCTCTAACCAGGGAAGTCCGCCAAATTACCATGAAACTCTGAATGGAGACCTGGGTAGATCGATAGAGTCTATAAGGTTATTTACAAATATAGATAGCAAAACTGCAACCTGCATTTCACAAGCAACTTATGAGCAGGTAAATTTTGCAATGCTTTAGTAGGGTGGAGCGATTCCTCACTTATGCTTCACAGCTCACACCAAGCCTCCACCCTACTGCAGCATTACCAATCTTTACCTGCTCATGAGTTGCTTGTGAAATGCGGTTGCACTTTTGCTATCTATATCTGCAAATACCTTGAAAGAACTCTATTCGAAATTACACAGGCCTCCATTCAATGTTCCATGGTAATTTGGCGGGCTTCCCTCGTAAGGTTTTCACGGTATTTGTTTGCGGACGCTGGGAAGGGTCAGACAGGACCTCTGCTTGGCGTGGCGCCAATTCCTTTTTTGTCTTCTTCCTGCTTTGTGTCTCGGCTTGATGGGTAACAGGGACTTGTGCCTGGCTAAACCCCTGACACGCACTCTAGCCATGGCATTAACAGAACCGCAGGTTGCGCAGTATTTGGTGGCCTGAAAAAATTTTTTTACGACTGACGTCGAGCGCTTTCGCGCCAAACTCTTGCGCAAAACGTAGAGCTCCTACTCCAACGTGCGTCGGGACGGCTTTTATACAAATCTAGCTTGAATTTTGACGTGTATGGGTATGAATTGTCGGTTATGCGGGACTTTCAATAAATTCTAGAATATGGTTCACTTTTGCTGAGGTAATGGGTGCGGTTTATAATTCACGATTCCATCGATCACTTGCATCGCGCGATCGGATCACCGTAACCTCCACGGTTATCAGGATTTTAACTGTTTGCGTACAGATGAAAGAATGAAGTTGAAAAACTATGTAATGAGTAAAACTATATCCCATTCAGATACGACGGCGACGTCTCGTGCGGCGTTCACAACCATCGGATCCGAATTCTCCAGAGAAACCGATGATAAACTGTAATAATAGCCCTGATAGCAGTTTTCAAGGTTTGCTGCTTGTGAACTATTCCATTCTGGCTGACATCAGGGTACCCACAGAATATGGGAGGAATAGCGGCTGCAATTACGACCCTTCCTACCCAAAAGCAGACGGTACTTGGGCATTTCCTACCAAAGCTGTGTCGAATGCGCTGGCGAACGCGATGGTCGGTAAACACTGTCGTCCAGAGTTCTTCAGAAATGTCCCAATGCCGCTTTGGGTTGCGCCACGCACCGAAATCCCATTCAGAAAGATAGCTGCATTCAGAGGCCTTCAACCTATGAAACAGTCTTCTGGGTCTTGTTGGGTTAGGACTCTACATATTGTAGCTAGACTACTCACATGCCATGATGCAGACCCCCCCCCTCCCTCCCATATGTGGCAGGTCAGGGAGTTCCGTTAAATTACTCAATGAATCGTTTTTCAGTATACGAAGAGAATCAAACTTGGTCCGAAGCTTTTCTGAGAAGAAACTTACTGTGCTCATGGTTGTGATTTGTGTGATATTTATACTCGGCAATCTACCTCAAATGCTTGTTATGGTTCTGCAAAATGAAGCTATGGATAATTTATACGGATTTCAAGTGAGGCTATTTTTCCCAATTCATGTATAAATCAAGTGTCGTTAGCCATATTATGTTATGTAACAAATTATGTAATAATATGCACTCGAAGTTTCTTCAGAAGAGTTGAAATTATTCACAGTTAGTGAGGAAAATCGGGGCAAAGGTAGCTGTAAGACGTCTCATAGCGGCGACTTTATCCCTCTTCATATCTCTTCCTGTGTCTAGTCTTGCTGTCAAGAATCCCTCGCAGCTTTGAAGCTAGAATTACGCCAACTTTTTGTTTGTGTGAGAGGACGCAGACAAGCAAACACGGGAGCGCATAATCAAGCGCCGGGTCTGCGGATATGACGTGAAAATCGCAAGGTGTTGAAATAACGATAAAGGATAAATGAAAAAGCATCGATCAGTCCCTTTTCTGAGGTGCGGCACGCGTTCTATTTCCGTTAAAAATCGGTGGCCTATGATTGGGAGTGGTCTATACACTGAGTTGCAAGGGCCAGCTTACACTAGTCATGCTCTTGTACTACCAAATGGATCTGTTACCAATTTACCATCCCAAAGAATAGAGCTTGGTTGGCTCACGCGGGAGCCGGTCCGAAGGCTAAATCCCAGTAATCGCCGATCCGGAATTCCTTTACCCTAGCGCACGCGTGGTAAGCGTGCCACATGCCGCTACAACATTGTCGCCATTCCAGAGTTACATAATAAGTAATGGAAAGCTCTTGTGAGTGAGGCTATATCTGAGAAACGGCAAAAGCTGCTCCCAAAAAGTTATCTTTGGTAGATAGAGATAAATTTATTCCAGAAAAAGGTGACAGAGGTCTTCTGAACTAATGAAACATTACTTGGTAATAATGGAATCTAGACAACACCCAGCAGTTTTGGAACAGCAAAATTTGGCGCGTGGTCATATTTTGGTCTGAGGTGTAATTGATTTTGTCTGCGTCAATGTTTTTATTCATTTGAAGAAGCTGTTACTAGTATGGGACTAATTAGGCAGTCCTGGAAAGGCAAAACCCTTACATAGCGTATATCATAGTCCACAAGACAAGGCACCCTCAGCAGCTGCATATCCTTCAATAAGCCGCAACGTGAACGAAAACTAATATGACAGCTTTATCTCTGGTCTTGTTCACTAGGGATGCAGGGGCGTCTCGGGAGCGCCAGGTTTAGTGGGGCGCCGGCAGTGTTTACACCGAATTCTGTTTCCTGCCCTCCTTAAGAGCAAGTTGGCTTTGCGCCAAACCCCGTTCCATTTCCCACCTGATACGCCCCAACGCAGCAACGAATAGGAATGTACACTCCTTATCCCTGAGCCAGGGCAGGCGTGGCATTTGAACATGGCACGGAACTGGTTACTCGTGTAATATTCCAGTCTATGACAACTGTCGTCTTGTTCTTATTTTACAACACGACAAAACAATTTTGTCAGGATGAAAATATCTTACCAGAGGCGTAGACTCCTTCAGGTTAAGTTCAAGGATGCAGCCACACCTACCCGATCTCAGGGATTTGAGTATGTCTATTTGTTACTGGAACCCATCAATAGACCTGATCAAGGTACATATTCAGTACATGGGAAATTTCCCTAGATTCCACCCCAGTAACCTGGAAATAAAAGGG